TGTTTGAAATATTCAAAACAAAGTTGGGGGCAGAGAATCTTAAAGGGGGTCTACTGGCAACCCCCTGGCCTCGGAGAGACCAGGCCTAGCGACTGTCCGCCTGGGAGGCCTCTCAGACGGGGCGGTCAGCACTGGGTCTCTACACTGCCCACCAAACTGTTTTGATCCCGTCTCCTGTCTATCTTACACGTACCACTCTACCGGTAAGCGATGTATGTTGTCAGGCACAGGAAGAGTGGATTATCTGGCGCAGCCCTGGAGAACATGCCGCCCGCTGTGGTGCTCCCGGAAGCAAGCAGGTAGCGTATTCCATGCCTCGGGCTTTCCCCAGCCCCGGGCATAGGAGCTCATCCAATGCTTGTGGAATGAATAAGGAGTTGAACTAATGAGTGCACTGGCCTGGCCTGGCCTACCCGAGCCCCGTGGGGGTGCTGGGCAGTGGGAGCGGCAGTACAGAGCCCCAAGGAGGTGGCCCCTACATGCCGGCCTCACTCTGGCCCTACGGCTGCCGATGAGACAGCCAGGTTTTATTTTTTTATCAAATGAATATGGAATACAGTCATCTTAACCCCTTTGGGGCCAGTAACCTATCTGGGAATACAAGTCAACTTAGGGCCCTCTCCCCAACCAGGCACATCCCCTAGCCCAGTGGTCGGCAAACTCATTAGTCAACAGAGCCAAATATCAGTACAACGATTGAAAATTCTTTGAGAGCCAAATTTTTTAAACTTAAACTATATAGGTAGGTACATTGTTATTAACTTAATTAGGGTGCTCCTAAGGCTTAGGAAGAGCCACACTCAAGGGGCCAAAGAGCCGCATGTGGCTCGCGAGCCACAGTTTGCCGACCACTGCCCTATACCACATACACCTGGAGTTTTGCACATGATCTCAGATGGTTCACAGACAAGCACCCCCAAGGTCCGCACACAGACCCCAGGTAATGACACTCCAGACCCCCAGAAACCCGAGGAACTGGGGGCTGGTCTTAGGCCTGAGTACCGCCACCAAACGGGGGCTCCCTCCACAGTGCGCCCAACCAGGAGCCAGCCTCGCCGAGTGCCCGGCCGGCCGTGCAGAGCAGCTCTCAAAGGGGACTGGGCCAGGCGGCTGAGCAGTGGCTCCCAGCTGCTCCCACAATCACTGACCGACAGGAGCCCTGAGGCTCAGGAAGGCCGCCTAGCAAAGCCACTGGGCCCAGCCAGCCTTGATGGGGCACTGCACCTGCCGGCACTGTGCAAGGAGCAGGGGACAGAAAGATGTCTGAGCGCTCCATCCTCAGGGGTCACAGTCCAGTGGAGAAGAGAGACCTCAGAACAGGTCCTTTCCAGCCAGTGTGGTGGCCTGAAGCGGCACCGCTCGGCCGGGGCTGCCAGTGATCCTGTTGAATGGCACTGTCGGCAGGTGGGGCTAGAGAAATAGACCGATGGGGTCCGGGGCAACTTGGGAGGCTCCAGCTGACACCGGTTTATCTGCAGCCCCGGGGAGATTGCACGGGGAGGGCAGGGCGGAGGGGCAGGTGTGTGAACCAGCGCGTTAAGAACAACTACAGCGATTGCACTGCCCTCCCTGCGGGTGGGTGCTGGCTCTTGATGGTTGTCATTCACAAGGGAAGGAGGTTTGAGTGGTTTGCCTGCGGGCACTCGGTCCTAGCTGGACACACGTGGGGACTGGGCGGGTGGGGAACAGGGGGGCGGGGGGGGGAGAACCTAGTGAATGGCAGACCTGGCTCGGGGCAGTTTCTGGGCCCATCCCTGCGCTGGCACCGGAGCGGGGAGGTGGTGCCCGCGCTCACTGCCGTCGGGCGGTGCGGAGGCTCCCCGCCCAGGGTCTGGAGGAGGGACCTGGAGGACGGACGATGGCCATCCGGGCACGGGGCTAAGAGGCCACCCCGAGCACAGGGCAGCTCGGCCACCAAGTGTGGAGCCCGGAGGGGTGGAGAGGCGCTGCGCTCGCCTCGGGCAGGACTGGAGCGAGCGGAGGTGGCTCCTCCTCTGTCCACGCCGCCGTCGGTCCGGTAGCTGG